TTTTACAAACCCACCCACCACTGTGACCTCAGAGATGTACTTCCTGTTTGCTGAGCCCACACTGGCTCATTCTCCCAGGACTAGGAACATCGTGGAAAACTTTCCGACTTGTAAACATAAAGGAAGCATAAAATGAAGTGGCTCATAAAATAAAGTGACTTGTAGAACAAAGTGACCTTATGTGATCAACTTTCTAAACAAAGCACAGACATTCAGAATACGAAGACAGATGATAAAAATCACATCTTGTGCTAATGAAATGAAAGACTGAGATAGAGCAGAGGAAAAAAAAAAGCAACAACTTGTTCCTTGGGAAAATTAATAAAATAGCTAAAACTCTGGCAGTATTATTCAAGAGAAAAAGATGACGGAAAAACCAAGTAGGAGGCAGAATTTTAGAAATCCCTTAACAGGAGGGAGGGTTAAGGCATTGCAAAACTGAGAAGAGGAAAAAAACGGAGAAAAAGGGATGTTGACTGAGTTCTACCCACACTTGAGTTTTGTCTGTCTTCTGCCTCTGCTATTTGGGGTGGCTGAAGGGAATAGTTCAGGTTCATTCCCTTGTAATGGACCAAAATAGAGATTCAGGCTAAGTAAGAGATAAGGAACATTTATCATTTCACTAACTGAGACTCAGCCAGTGCCCAAATGACCCCCTCCTAAGTGGGAACTATTCTCTGGGAATACAGGTTCCCAGGCTCACATCAGCTCCACACCTGGGTCAGTGGAAAAGAAAAAGATGGTTCCCGTTGAATGAGGCATCCAGTTCTAACCCAGTCGTTGTGGCTGGGGATGGAATGTTCTGGAATGTTTTAGTCTGGAAGACATGTGTCATCGTGTCAAAGGTGTTCCTCGAGCAAGCCACCTGTATTGAATGTTAAGGAGGGGTGACGCTGTCTGAAGCAGACCCAGAGCCCATTGTCATGAGACAGGGCAACTGGAGATTGGTAACAGCCACCCCACAAGGGATCTATAGCTGGTGGTAGGAGGAGGTGACAGATCACCACAAACCATGGCCACAGTGCTAGGTGGTTTGGGCTTATATAGGAAACAGAGCAAGATACCCACAGGTGGCCCCTCCAGGGCTTGATTGAATTCAAGAGAAGAAGCAGGCCAGATTCAGCATGGATCCCCAACCTGTGAAACCCAGTGAGCTGTTGGGAAAAGGAAGCGAGAGGGAGCCAGATACAACATCTGCATCAGATTGGCAGCCAACCACAGCAGTGGCAGACTGGGTCCATGCAGTCCAAGAGAGATTGGCAAAGTAATTGAGGAAAATATAAATGGACAGACCTTTATGTTTGCTTTGTTTAGAATTTTACCCCAGAGGATCTAATTTGTAGCCATTCAAACCAAGTATCTGTGAGATGTGGGTGAATAATGTTTCTTTGGTTGTTACCGCAAGCATCGGAGCCAGAAATATCAGACATTAGGGAAGGTTTGCCAAAGCTTATAGTCCTGGTGGGGGGACTAGGTTGGGGGGAGGGTAGCAGAGGAAAATTTGGTTGGAAAATGGGAAGGGAGAGCAGCAATATAATGAAACCTCTGAAATTCTTATAAGATTTATGGTTTGGCTTTGGATTTGAAGATGAGTCTGGATCTAAAAATAGATTTCCAAGCTGCAGAGTCTTCCATAAGATTGCTATTGCTCCTTGCTGATTTGTACCTGGGAGATACTTTCTCTGTGATGTCTGGGATTCTGACATGTCACTCATTCATCCACTCTACAAATGATATCTTGAGAGAAAAATCCAGGTTTCACTGAGAGTGACAAGGTTTCCCACAGACCAGCTAGCTACCCGTGGCCTCCCGGCCATCCCGTCCTAATTGGTCATCTAGTTGCCAACTTAGCATCCACATGGGGTGCCCCAGAGATATTTGCAAACTGGTCATCCCAATTCCAAGCATTGATGTCTCTGTCCCAGGTAAACCATTCGCTCTTTTTGAGTAAAGCTTCCTCCATTCACCCACTACCTCTAGCCCATTTGTAGAAGATCTTCTGTCCATTTCTTTGGACTTTGCTTCTATTCAAGAGCAAATCCTATTGATCCTGCCTCTTAGATATCCCTGGACCCACACCTATTCTTCTTCATCTTCTCTGCCACTAGCTAAGACACAGCTACCACCATCTCCCTCCAAGACCTGCTCCATCCACTCACTGCTTGTTGGTCAGACACAACTGCAAGCATTGGTGGTACCATGCAAGTGGTCTATGGTTTCTCAGTGGCTCCCTTCAGCATTGTCAAGGACACAAAAGCACCTTGCTCTGGCTGACCAGTGGCTGTAGGGTTAGATGCCACCTGTCCTTCAGGCTTCAGCTCATTGTCTCCTGTCTCTCCGTTCTCATGCTCTGGACACATGGACCTTCCTTTAGGTCCTGGGAGGCACTCACCTCTTTCTGGTCTAGGGGCCTCTGCGCAAGCTGTGCTTTCTGCCTGGGCTCCCCTACGTTAGCCTCTGCCTCTCCTCTTAGTGCTTTTTCACTTGCCTGACTCCTTCTAATCTTGGAGTTCTCAAATAGGCCTTCATGTCCCCTGCCATCCTCACTAAGTAAGATCTTTCTTTTCACCTTCCTCCAGGAGGTTCCTCAAACTTCAGAACCGCATCTGCATTTGCATAGGCTCTTCAGTGACTGTCCAACTCCGATATAAACATGGGGTCCTACTTGGCTCGATCACTGCTTTCTTTTACCTGCCAAGCACCTCAGAGGCTCTCAATCAATCTTGACTGGATGAACTGATATGAGAGTGTAGGAATGAATGCTTTATAAAGTTGATTTTATTGATTTGAAAGGTAGGATGGCAGAGATAGAGAGGAAAGGAAAGAGATCTTCCAATCCCTGGGCCATTCCTCAAATGGCTGTGATGGCCTGGGCTAGGCCGATACCAGGAGCCAGGAACTTCATAACATGGGATGCCAATATCTTGGACAGCAGCTGGGTCCACTGTGTCACAATATCAGCCCCTGACTGGGTGCCTCTGAGCTGTGGGCACAGGGGACAGGCTCAGGTAGACCTGGAGAAGGCACCTTCACCTGTGTCATCCATGCTAGGAACATGTGCTTCGTCACAAAGCTTGAGTATGTCTGAATGGCACACGTCTGAAGGAGGCTTTTCCATTTTCAAAACTCTTGCTATTTCCTGGAAACAGATTGTGTCTCTCTGATTGTCTGTTAAGCTTCTTCTTTTTTTTTTAACTACTAAAGATATTGGAACCAAACCAAAGTAATCTGCATTTCCATTTTTATATCTGAATTTATAAACTACTCCTTATGATTTACATGCACTCACTCAGTGTCTCTAAGAGAGCCGAAACAAATACCACCCATGCCAACTCTGCTACTCAAACCTTCTCTCTGCATCCTACCAGGAATGTACTAGCTTTTCAAATGGCAGCTGGCAGGCTGGAGCTGGCCATTGGGTTGGGGACAGTAAGGAGAGGTCTCCTTCTGCCTTCTCTCCCAGCTCCCCTTAACTGAAGAAAGACTAGTGAGTGGCTGGAGGTGGGAGTGATGTGGTCATTGGCTTTCCCTGTGTGTGGTGGTGCCAGACCTGGAATTGCATCTCTTAACACCCACATGCCAAGGGTCTTTCCCTATGGCATTTGGGAGCAGGGTCACTCTTTGGTGTGCATCTCCTCTCGGGGTAGACGTGGCAATCCAATGAAGAGGAATGCAGGCTGCCCTGCACTGACAGTTGGTGTAGCACAGATGTGGCCAGCAACGGTCTGCCTCCACCGAGTTGCCTACAGTGAGCTTGAACTTACAGTGTCAGTCTGAGACCCCCTGTGGCTTTGTGGAGTCAGCTGGCTTTCAAGCTGCCTGAACCGAGGGTCTGCTCTGTGTCGGTACCCCCAGGCACTGGTGCCTTCCCCAAGTACAAGTGCGCAGCAGTACTGATGATCCTTGTGGTGAGGGTGTTTGGCATGGTTACCACCTCATTTGGGTGCACGTTGACAGAAGCAATGGTTGCCATTGGATTGCAGCCAGCTGATGGGGCCCCAGATTCCGCACTCAGCATTCTGGGCTCTCCACGGTTATTTTGGTTCTGCTTTGGTCACTTTCTCTGACTTGCTCAGCTGCACGCTCCATCCTGGGAAAACCCGGAGCTCAGTGCCACGGGGTGAGAGGGGCTCTGCTGGGACACAATGCCCTTTCCCTATGGCCATCGTCATCCTACCCGGAGGTTTCTGCCTGCCTCCACTCTAGCCACCAGGAAGCAAAGAACATACAATACCCTGGTGGTTACTTGTAATTTCTCTCCTCTTTCCTTGTGCTGGAGTGAGGGGTGGCCCGGGAGCCATCAGGCCCGGTGAGTGAAACTTGCACAAAGCCTGGGCAGGCCGCTTTGTGGGTCCGCATTCCTCTTAACAGGAGAGCGTCGCTGGCTTTAGTAACCCCAGGGTGCAGGGAACAGAGAGCCAGACCCCTTAAGCCTCTCGCCACAGACAAGCTACAGCCACCACCTCCCCAACCCCCCACGCTGCATTCACTTCATTTCTTCTCTTTAAAATTAATAGAAGCGGTTCCCCCTTGCAGTCTCACTTTTGTTTGTCTTCAGCTCTGGCCTCTTGCTACATCCTCCCCTCTAACACTTTTCAGCCAGTGCAAAGACTGCAGACAGCTTGTCTACCTAGTCTCGGCCAGGTCCCCTGGGAGGGTCTCTACCCTTAGGCTGGCCCCTCCCCCAAGGTCACCCAACTTTTCTCTTTTACAGCCTTCGGCCGGGGGGGAACGTTGCGGGAGCGGTGCGGGGGCCCCCTCCCCGCGGGGCGGGCCCCCGCCGGGCCGTACTCATTGGCCGGCGCCGGGCTGCGGGCGCGGGTGCTGATGTCAGGCGGGCGCGAGTGCGGCGGGCGCAGCGGCGGCGGCCGCCCAGCAGCCCGGGTTCGGGTGGGGGCGCCGCGTGGGGGTGGCGGCCAGCATGCTGCTCGGCTGCGGTTCGGCCTCCCACACCCGCGGCGCCCTCGTCCTCGCCAGCAGCGGCGGCGGCGGCGGCCGAGCAGCGAGCGGCGCCCGCGTCTGCAGCGACGCGGGGTCCGAGCGCGCAGCGCGGCAGCGGCGGCGGCCGGGGTCGGGGTCTTGGCCGGGGCGGGCAGCGGGCAGCGGGCATGGCGCTGCAGAGAGGCGGCGGCGGCCGCGCGGTGCTGGGGCTGCCGCTGCTGCTGCTGCTGCTGAGCGCCGCGTGCCTAATCCCGCGGAGCGCGCAGGTGAGGCGGCTGGCGCGCTGCCCCGCCACTTGCAGCTGTACCAAGGAGTCCATCATCTGCGTGGGCTCCTCCTGGGTGCCCAGGATCGTGCCGGGCGACATCAGCTCCCTGTGAGTGCGACCCCTCCCGTCCCGGCGGGGAGGGGGGCAGCGCGACCCCAACCTCACACTCTCAGCTCCTTTTGTGAGGGGAGAGCTTCGGGGCTCCGGTGGGGGTTTGTCCCCGGGGGCAGGGGAGGATGGAGGGGACGCGAGCACCAGAGTCTGGGAACCCGGACGGGCCCCTGTCCCGCGTGCCAGCTGCATCCGACCCACCTGGGGGAAGCTGGTGCTAATGCAGACTCCTGGCCCGCGCCGGGCAGGGTCTCTGGAGTGGGGTCCTGGAGTGTGCATTTGGCATTCCCGGGTGATTCTAGGGCGTGTTAAAGTTTGAGTGGCCGTGTGTGCATGCGTGTGCGTGCGTGTGTGTGCAGGGACATGCAGAGGAGCCAACTGCACGTGACTGGGTTGAGTGCAGACTGGCAGGGTGAGGCCTCGTTGCCCCACCTAGGGTTTGTGCAGGGGGTCACACCATGGTTTTCCGGCCTCGCCTAACTGCAAGCTGGAAAGAGCCTGGATAAAGTCTTGTAGCACCTGGGAACCGAGGGTCTGCCCCATGAGGCCGGGATGAGGGGGCTATAGAGGGCTTGGCAGCGTCTTGGGGGTGGGCGGGAATGGGGGTTCTGGGCGCCCAGCCAGGACCATGTGCTGGAAACAGGCCCGATTATGATTTCAAGAGGGCTTCTTATCTTCATCCCCTGCTCTCCGCCACCTCCCATAACGGTCAGAAGGGAGTAGGGCTGGGGGTGGGAGCTGGCAAGCACAGGCTTCAAGTGATTAGACATGCTTTCAACTTGACCTCAACAACTCTCAGTCCAATGTGCAACTTTCTTAATGGCCGAGCAATGGGCTGGGGAACCCTGTCTTCACTCTTCGGACTTGTGTCTTGCTAAGCTCACACCCTTGTTCCAGCCAGAGCCCAGGGGTGGCCAACCAGTTGTAGAGGAAGGGAGTCCCCAGGGTGACGTAGTTTGTGTTCAGAGCACTTTTCTCATGTGCAGCTTTCCCCCCGTCTTCCACCACAGGCAAGAAGCAGGGACCTGGAGGGAGGGGCTTCCTGTTTGCCTCTGTAGACAAGGTCTGGCTGGTGATGGTGGGAGGGGGGGAGACAAATTGAATGACATGGGGGAGTCCAGAAATTAGAGTTCTTGTCAAATCCTTAAGACTAGCAGCTGCTTAGTTGATCTGCATATTAATTGAAACAATTCTGCAATCACATGTTGAGATGGCACTTGGCCAGAAGGATAGGGGCCCTGGGGACAGAGATGGAGCCAAGTCCCATGCCCCTGAGTTGACTATTTGATCTGGCAGATGGCATTGCCTCCCTTGGTACAGGCACGTTTAGGTGTCTCTGGGATGGTCCCCGAGGCTTTCGCAGCACATTTAATCAGAAGTGCTGTGTGTGTCTTCCAGAGCCCACTGTGGAATTCCATGAGCCAACATTAACTCTGTGTCTACACCAACAGAATCACGGGCAGGGGTGAAATCAGACCTGTTTTTAGCCAGGGCCTTCTGGAGTGACAGAGAAAAGAAGCGAGGGGATGGAGCTGGTGTCTGATGGGAGCCAGGTGCTGGGACAGGTGTTTCATATCTAGTAGATGTTCTTATTCATTCCAGCCTGTGTGCCTCTTTCTGGAGGCAGGGCTGCAAATTCCAGGGGAAGGTGGGGTCGATGGCCCACCTCTCTGGCATCTCCTAGAAAGATGTAGACCCCCTTGCTTGTTTTCCTCTTTTGCTGTAGGAGCCTGGTCAATGGGACATTCTCGGAAATCAAGGACCGGATGTTCTCACACCTGCCCTCCCTGCAGCTGCTGTGAGTATGGGGCGTTCTGCAAGCTCAAGGGACCCCAGTCCTGGTAGGGAAGTAGGTGTCTCTTTGGTAAACTGACTCCACAGCCCAGCTCCACAGGTGCAGTGTGGCTGGCTCTTCGTGTGAAACTGGCCCTTGTGTTGTACACCAAGTGCAGGGCTCCTGCATTCTTAGTGTAGAACATGCTTTCCTGGCAAACTGTTGAGGACACCTCCCCCCCACCAATGCCCTCCAGCCCTGGTCTTACAGTTGATAGGTATTTTTGCCTTGGATCAGGCCTACAGTTTCACCAGATGAACTGTTCCACAGACATCTTGCTTTAAAGGAAAAGTTGCACTTTTAAATAGTATAGTCACTCTGCAAATAGAAGAGTGTCTAGTTTCCTGAGCACTCACACTCAGGCTGTAGAGTGTGCACTTTTGTACATGGTTTTCCATGGTCACCATGTTACCTGGTGAGGAGGTTATTTTTAATTCCCCATTGGACATGGAGAAACTGAGACTCAGGGAAGCTGTGCAGTGATGCATTTTGTCCACATCGGGGGGCCAGGCCTCTGCTTCTCCTGCTGAGCAACACCCAGGTCCATGTGGGAAGAGCCCCTGTTGTTGGTTTATCATGGATGATGAGAAGAAATAGCCAGGGCTGGCACAGCAGATTGAGCTCAGCTTCTGATCCAGCTCCCTGCTAATGTGCATTGGAAGGCAGCAGATGATGAGCTACGTGCTTGGGCCACCCACACAGGAGACAAGGATGGGATTCCTAATTCCTGACTTTGAACAGCCCCAGGCCTGGCTGGGCTATTTGGGCAGTGAACCAGGCTATGGAAGATCTCTGTCTCTCACTCCCCTCCCCTCCCCTCCCTTTCCCTCCTTTCCCCTCCCTTCCCCTCCTCTCCCCTCGCCTCTCGCCTCCCCTCGCCTCTCCCTTCCCCTCCCCTCCCCTCTCCTCTCCTCTCCTCTCCTCTCCTCTCCTCTCCTCTCCTCTCCTCTCCTCTCCTCTCCTCTCCTCTCCTCTCCTCCCCTCTTCTCCCCTCCCTTCTCCTCTCCTCCCCTCTCCTCTCCTCTCCCCTCTTCTCCCCTCCCTTCTCCTCTCCTCTCTCCTCTCCCCTCCTCTCCTCTCCTCTCCTCTCCTCTCCTCTCCTCTCCTCTCCTCTCCTCTCCTCTCCTCTCCTCTCCTCTCCTCTCCCCTCCTCTCCTCTCCTCTCCTCTCCTCTCCTCTCCTCTCCTCTCCTCTCCTCTCTGTTGCCCTGCCTTTCAAATATTTTCTAAAAGGAAAAAGGAGAAAAGGCCAGAAAACAATTTCTAAAAGCAAATCGGAGACAGGCCAAGTACTGAACATATAACTCTTTCTATATCTATGTAGCTTTCCTAGATCTGAGATGAAATTGAAATTAAAATAAAGAAAAGTCATAGAAAGGTCTGAAAGATAATATAGGCTACCATTCTTCATCCTAATGAAACTTACCATTGATGTTTTAATTCATAAAGTGTCATATGCTTACTTATGATACTTGAGATTTTAAAATCTGAATTCTCTTAAGAATTGTAATGCTGTTAAAATACATGCTTTCTGTATGATAGAAATACAAGTTAGGTAGGTTTTTTTTGACATATGGAGCTAAGTGATTGCTATGTAGACTTTAATCAAATAGATTTAGTAATGACAAATAGAAAGCTAGTTGGTGAAGATTTCTTTATTTCTAAGTAAATACATATCTTATGTATGTATTTATTTTCAGAAAGAGGGAGAGAATATGCTAGGTCTCCTATTTGCTGGTTCATTGCTCACATGTCCACTATGGCTGAAGTCAAGACATTAGGAACTCAACCCAGGTCTCCCATGAGGATGGCTGCAACACTGGCACTTGGGCTATCACCTGTTGCTTCTTAGGGTGCACATTAGCAGAGAGTTGGAACCGGAAGCAGAGATGGGCCTAGAACCCAGGTAGTCTCCTAGTGTGGCCATCCCAAGCTGAGTCTGAGCTGCTACACCAAATGCCTGCCTCTAAAGTTTCCCTCAGTGAACTTTGAATTTTTTTTTTATGAGAGTGTATAATACAGCAAAAAGATTATTTTGTTTGCTTTAGCTTTTGGCTGCAGCTGTGCGACTTCAGTCTAGTCACCTAACTTCTCTGGGTTAAGCTTTCTCTAATAATAGAGTTAGATTGGATATTTTTAAGTCTCTAATTCCACGATTCCTTTGATGTCGTGAAGGATTCTCTGGCTTTGAGATGTGCCTGGCATCAAAATATTTCCAGCTCACAGCTCTCAGATCGCATTTTTTGAGACCCACAGTGTAGAGGCAGGTGGAGCATTTGGGCTGACCAGAAAACCCAGCCAAAGGTGGGTTCATCAGCAGTGGGTAGGATGCCTGTGACCCTGACAGACTTTTCTCAGGCTCAGCAGACCCCATGTTTGCCCACAGATGAGACTGAGAGAGGGTTTTGCCATGGGACTCGGAGTCTCTATGTGTGCATTGAAATCTGCCCCTTTTTTTTCAGATTGCTGAATTCTAACTCATTCACAGTCATCCGGGACGATGCTTTTGCTGGTCTCTTCCATCTGGAATACCTGTAAGCTATGGGTGGTATCTGCTCGCTGAGTGGGTGATGTTCCATTGGGAGGATTGGTGTGGCTGTGTTCCCTTGCTCCCAGGGCTTGAGGTGGGGAGAGGGAGGAGAGGCAACCCTATGGTCTTGTCATCCCTGATCTTTGAGGGTTTCCTTGCCGGTAGAACACACAGGGGCTTGGGGAGTTGGCAACAAAAAGGAGAAAGGCAACAAAGATGGCAGGCAGGCTCCCATTCATCTTTGGTTGGCATTTAATTTGTCATGTAGTAAGCACAGTGGGAACCTGCACTGGATATTTTTACCTCTCTGAAGCAGGCATAGACTGGCTGCTCAGCCAGAAATAGCAAAAGGAGGGTTCTGCGGCTTGCTTAGTTTTGAATAAGGTCTCCCTGTCCGGGGACACCTCCCCTTTACAGTGTCTGCTACAATTTGCTGCCAATGGCTGGTGTCCATTCTTTCCTCCTTCTTCCCTCTAGTCTCTTTCTCTCCTCCCCTCTCCTCTCCTCTCCTTCTCTCCTCCTCTCCTCTCCTCTCCTCTCCTCTCTTCTCCTCTCCTCTCCTGCCTCTCCTCTCCTCTCCTCTCCTCTCCTGCCTCTCCTTCCTCTCCTCTCCTCTCCTCTCCTCTCCTCTCCTCTCCTCTCCTCTCCTCTCCTCTCCTCTCCTCTCCTCTCCTCTCCTCTCCTCTCCTCTCCTTTCCTCTCCTCTCCTCTCCTTTCCTCTCCTCTCTTCTTCTCTCCTTCCTTCCTTCCCTCTATCATCCTTCTCTCTTTCCTTCCTTCCTCCCTCCCTCCCTCCCTTCCTTCATCTTTCCACTTTTCCCGCCCTCTCTTTCTTTTTATTTGCAAAAGACTTACCTATTTGAAAAGCAGAGTTACAGAGAGATGGAGAGACAGGGAGAGAGAGAAAGAGAGAGAGAGAGATCTTGCATCTGCTGGCTTACTTCCCAAATGACTACAATGATCAGAACTGGATCAGGCTGAAGCCAGGAGCCAGGAGCACCACCCGGGTCTCCCATGTGGGTGACAGGAGCCCATATACTTGGGATATCCCCAGTTGCTTTTTTAGGATCATTAGCAGAGAGTTAGATGGAAAATGGGGTAGTAAAGATCCAAACAGGCACTCATACAGGATATGGGTGTCACAAGCAATGACTTAAGTGGCTATACCATAACACCAACCCCTAATTTGCCTTACTTACTCCTCCAAAAAAATAGAGAGGAAAGATTATTCCCCCCTTATCAAATGTGTAGCCTTTTTTCCCTCAGAGTAAGGAGCTTACCCTTAGTCTGATCTGTGCCTTTTCTTATTTTCATGTCTTTTTCCCTCTTAAGTTCCTTCATGCGTGTGCCTACTAACTTTGTAATAATGCTAATCCTGCTCTCAGATAGGGTTTTGTTACTTAACATTCAGAAGGATTTTTGAAAGTCTGTCTCTGCTTCCTTATCAGAGGTCAACAGGTAGGTATTGTAATTCTAGATACATCCTGGGTCTGAGAAAGCTCTCTGGTGGTTTCGTGTCTTGGGGGAACTCTCTCTCCAGTGTGTGTATGTGCATGTGTGTGTGTGAGAGAGAAAGAGAGATATCATGTGTGTGATCATGTGTGTATGTGATCGGGTGTGTGTTATTGTGTGATCATGTATGTGTGATCGTGTGTGTGATCATGTGTGTGTGTGTGTGTGGTCTGAATCCTCTCCCTTTGGCCTGCGTCCAACTGAAAATAACAGGATCTCTGTAGTGACCTCACAAAGCACAAAGTAGCCCATGGTGCAGCAAAGGCAAAGCTGCCAGTTAGCTTGTTTGTTTTCCTGTTTAGTTAAGAGAGAGAGAGAGAGAGCGAGATCTGATACCTGATGGTTCACTCTCTGAATACCAGTACTGCCTCCTGGAGTGCACAGCAGCAGGAATTTGGACTCAGAGGTGGAGCCAAGACTTGGGCCAGGCACTCTAATAGGGTATTTGGCATCCAGTGTAGCAACATGGCATCTTATTTAGTGAGCCTGCCCTTGTGAGGTGATTTCGTTTGGTTATTTATCAACAGTGATATTACTGTGAAGGTTGTTAGAGAAATTTGCCTGTTGGTTCCTGTTGAAGTCCATTAGCAAAAAGACACTCAAGTTTTTAAAAACAGATAGCAGGTACTTTGACGTGAAAGAGTGAACAACTTTATCATTAGGAATGTCCTGTTGCCATCTCCCTCTAGCCCCTCTTGTACATCTGGATTAGTGCAGTGCCATGAGCTCACTGGAGTTATCTGGCCTGGGGAAGAGCTGTGACATGTTCCTGGTGTAGGTTTCTTACAGAGCAGAGCTGATGGTTCTGAGGGCAGTCTCTCTGTGCAAGCCCAATCCTGCTTTGGCCTAGAGAGAGAAAGTCAGGGCCTCATCGGTTTTGCTGTGCTTTTGACTCCCTGGTGATACGGAGCTCTGGAGCATTTCCCTGCCTCATCACCCATTACTCGGAGATTGGACTGAGTAGAACGTGATGAACTCTGGCTTGCTGGCAGCCAAGCTTACTGGAACCCTCTTTCTCAGCAAAAACTTAAATATGGAGATGCAAAACAAAGGATTCCCCTTGAGGGACTGTGATATTAACTAAGGCATGAATAGCCAGCACTGGCAAATGTAAGAAGGAGTGAGTAGGGAAAAGGGCTGGCAGCATGCCTGTCTTGCAGAGAGAGACGAATGCTTGCCTTTGTACAGTACATTCTTCTTTCTTTGTTTTCCCTTCTGAGATGTTTTCAGTCTTCATTGCCAACTGTGAATTTGTAACTTCCCTGCTGCTTCAGGAAGGAACGTGAGACACCATGGGCATGCTTGCATGCTTGCATGCTTGCCCTGTTGCCTGCTCCCATGTGGAATCCAGTGTCACCAGAGAGACTGAGATGAGCCTCTTTTAGCTCATCAGTGTTTTCAGAGCTTATTCTGTAAGCCAACCTGCTTTGTAGAGATGCCCGACAGAGAAAACTCAGTTTTATTCTCACTGTTTTTGTCCTTAGGTTCATTGAAGGGAACAAGATTGAAACCATTTCAAGAAATGCCTTCCGTGGTCTCCGGGACCTGACTCACCTGTAAGTCCACTAAAAAGTGCCCTAAGTCCTCTAACACGGAGTGCTCCTGGTGCCCTAAAAAGTGCCCTAAGTCCTCTAACAAGGAGGGCTCCTGGTGCCCTTCTCTCATCCAGCTGTGTCTGCATAGGAACTTTCCCGGAAGGAAGCTTATTTCCTCATTGCGCATTAGATGCAGGTGCATGTGGTTGTTCTGCGATCTCCATCATCCTGATTTGCCCTTGGGGACCATGTAACTGTACAGGAAGCAAGGAGCTCTGAGTAGTGAGTGGCCCATGCCACTTGATGAAGTGGGAAGGAAAGCAGCAAAGAGTTTGTCACAATTTGGTGCCAGGCACAGGGCCCATTGCTCACTGAACCTGCTGTTCTTTATTTTTTGTGGTAATCAGTGGGTCCCCATTTTGCAGGTTTGTGAACCAAAGCTCAAGTGACTCATTAAAAAAATGATGAACTGGAGAATCAGGATTAGAATGAAGTGGAATGGAGATTTTTTTGGCTCTTCCCATTTGAATGCAAATCTTTTTCTTTTATGTTGGATTAATCTGCTTGTTCAGCTGAACTCTCAGGTTCTTATTAGCTTTCTGGGGTAGCAAATGAAACAAATTGATTTGAATTGGCATGTCAGGATGAGGCAAGTGTACACATTTAGTGAATTTACAAAACTGGATAAGATAGTGGCTGCGTTTATGAAAAAGCAAAGTATAACCATTATTGTGGTTGGAGTAATTTGTCAGCTAGGAGCCAGGTCCCATGTGCATGATAGATCTTTGGGGATAGAGCATGTCTTTGGGGATGCAGTATGTCTCTTCCTCGTACCGTAGCCTGTGTGGGTTAAAAAGACAAGTGGGAACCTGGAGGGTTTTGAGTGGGCCTTTGGCAAGGATGCCAGCACTTGTAAGCCTGACCGATGCAGTGAGGACAGTTACTGTGCAAGTCCCGTTGTTGGCAGAGGTGACTGTTGATGGGTCCAGGGTGCACTTGTGAATTGTTCCTAGGCAGCAATTCTGTCAGCACTAAAACCTGTGGACATGAGCGAGGGATATGGGAAGCCTGAACCTCTGAACCAGCGCATCCCCAGGTGCCAGACTCTGGTTGGTGTGTGTTCCAAGTTTTATTTTCTTCCAAAAAACTTTGAGTTTTTCAGATAGAACCAGATGCCAAATTCTCGCGTTGCCGTAGAGATCATGGGTGCAGAGTCAAAGAGACTGGTGTCTGAATGTGCTCAGGAGGTTGATTACTTTGATGTGGAAGGATTGCTGGACATAGAGGGTTAATGCTCAAATATGGCTGGGTGCTGTCATCATCGTCCTCATGGTCATTGGTTCACAACACCATGGCGCCCTTGCTCAGCTTTAGGAGGTCTCAGATTTCTCCAAGGGTTGCTAAGAAGTCCTGGCAGAATGGGTGGCAAGAGGAGGTCTGTGAAAAAGACAGCTGTGCGTGGCTGGGGAACAACAGCTGCAGCTAAATCAGTCTAGTTCCCACAAGCCAGGAATGAAGGACTTAGGCTCTGGGCAGTTCGTGAACCCAAGGCAAAGCCCATGTGCTTAGGAGGAGGCTGTGAATGGGCAGGTTTTGGGCATATATGTTAACATATCAGTGCACGTGTGCCCATGATGTGCATAACTGTGTGTAAACTTGTACATTTGTTATTTCACATGTAGTATTATGTGCAAGTGTGCGAGAGGCACCTCCTTTTGTGTGTGTGATACACTGAGAGCCTTTTCTGCCTGCGTTGAGGGCACATCAGAGGTCCCTGAGGAGAACCAGGGCCCCACCCAGATCTCCAGCCTCATGCTTCCATGCATGTTCTATAATAGTAGGCTTTCAGTGCACCGCCAGGCACTCAACTCCCCCCATCATAGGGCTTTTCCTTGCATCTTTCCCTTGCCAGCCATGCTGTCTCTTCTGCCTGTGAACTCAGGGAAAGTCCTTCGAAGTCTTCAAGGTCTGTCTCCTCCATGAAACCGTTGAGATCTTCCTCTCCAACTGGCTGCACAAACATACCCAACACTGATTGTCCACCCTTCCTATGTTAACTGCTATCTGGCCTGGGTCTTAATTTTAACTCCTGAGTCTTATTGAAAGCTTCACAAGGATAGGGACCCTACCCATCTTCCATTTGCTTGGCCCTCCCCTGTGTCTAGCACAGGATTTGCTGGTTGACCAGCTGGTTCCTAGCAGCTGGATTTCCATTGTTCTTCCATCTCTGGGTAAATCAGGTGATGTGGAAAATTGACTGCTCTAGGTGGGAGGGAGGGGTAGTTGGTAATTAAAGCATTTAATATGTTGCAGAAGAGGCAGTCCTCTTCTCTCCCTGTTTTTAAATCTCTAGCCCACTGATCCTCTTTTAAAAATCCAGCCCACTGACTGTATAAGATCGCTGAAGGGATAGGACTGAAAATTCAGCAACTCTATAGAAGGATGATTTTTAAGTTGATCATTTTGTATGGCTTAAAATGAATTATAAATATCCAATTAGCCCTTGGCAGAAAAAAGGTTTCCCAACCCTGGGAAAAGAAAACAACTATTTGAGGTCTACTCCTGGACTTATAAAGGAAGTCCTTATCTGGAATTTTCTTGTTTAAGTATCTGAGTTTTAACTTTGATGAACTTTCCCGACATGTGTGGACTCACATTTGCAGGCAAGGAAACAGATCAGATTTCAAAGCTTTGGAAGGAGCTGAGCCAATCTGTAACTAAAATCTAACACATTGTTCTTCCTATAACTCCGAAGGACAAGGTACTGTTCAGTGGTTTTATAAATGAAGAAAGTGCCACGGATTTGTAGACAGTGAAGTGAAGGGGCGAAGTGAGGCCCTCCGTGGGAGTGGGCTGGGTGACCATACACATTGTCCTGTTTTCCAACCTTCGAAGTGGATGCTTGGAGCAATTGTTCAACATGCTGCTTGACTTCGCTTTATGCACTCCAGACATGCTTATCTCTTAGTGTAATCACTTTCAATTAGCTGACATTTTCAACAAAATAATCAATTTTTAATCAGCTGAAATTAATGAAAGTATTTTTGCATGTTTCTTTTCAGAAGTGACCGTCAGCCAGAATCAAATTGCAAGACCTTTTTTTTTTTTACAGTTTCAAAAGCTTCTTCCAAGTGACATTCAGTCTGGTTATCTATTCAACCCATCTTCCAACATGTTGAAACATGCAAATAAATCATTTAGAAAAGAAAGGTGAAAGTTGATGAAATTGAATGGTAATCCAATTGTAGTTACTTAGATGAGAAAGAACATAATTCAGAAACTGGCATTCAGCTGGCATTGTAGCACAAGAATATTTGGATTAAAAATGAGCACACAACTTCCTGTTGTGTCAGCTAACTGACTCCAAGAGGGGATGTCATGTTTTCTCTAGTTTATCTTCTTGGGATGGGTTACTATGATGCTACAAAAGACTGATTCAGACATATTATAAAGTAGTTGGTGCTGAATTGCCTATGTGTTGACCACATACTTGTCCTGCTGCTTGTAATCATATGTGTAAAAGAAAGCACAAGTGGGCATCCATTTCCCAGTTAGCTTACATTAGAGCATGGTAGCTGAGGAATGACAGCCTCAATGTCCGTGGTTTCAGCCCCCAGGTCTTCCTCCATCAGCAGTCCTTCCCTGTGGACAGTCATTTTCAGCAGGATGATGACGGGGCACTGCAAAACCCTGAATCATCAATGAGAGAGATGATGATGCCATTCCTTGCTGTCTGTTTCCTTGGGGGATGGGGGGCTGTAGATTATCTTAGATTTCCAGTACTCAGGGCAGGAATGCAACATGGCTTCAGGTCAACCTTTGTTAACTAGAAAATGAAATTGATTGTAATCACTCCCTCAACATTCAGTTCTTTGGGATTTTATCAGAGTATCCCAAAGGGTTAGCACTGAGTATCTTTATGGAGAAGAGCGTTTACTGAGTCCTTTCCTACAGTTGTGATAGAATCGCCTTACTGGGAACCAGGCCCTACATCTTCTAATCACGGTGCTCACCTCACTCATCCAGCAAAGATTTACTGAACACCTCTTGTGTGTTGGACCCTCTCCTAGCAGTACAATAGTGGATATCTCTCTGTTCCCTTGTTGCTTACGTACAGGGAGGATACACAGTCGACAAACCCAAGCTGATGATTAAAGGATATAATGTGTGGTGAAGGTCAACGGAATCAGGAAGGGAGTGTGTGGAGGTCAGGGCAGGTGGTGGTTGTGAGGTCACACCCTCATGAGGGGACGGGGTGAGTTATGTAGGTATCTGGGGAAGAGTGTTTCAGACAGCTGCCCAGGTCAGAGACCTTGAGGCAGGAGCCTGGATGGCATACGTGGGGAGCAGATAGGAGGCAGTGTGGCTGGATTCAGTAGCAGAGGTGATATGCTGTCACAGGTCAGCAGACGCGGAGGCAGCCAGGGATGAAGGACCTTGAGTACTATCCAAGGGATTTTAGCTTCTAAGAATCAGGGAAAGCCATCAGAGGCTCAGCAAACAGGCATTCAGAGTTCACTAAACGCAGTTTGAACAATGAATAAATGCAGGTGAAAATCAAACCATCTTGCACTGCCATGCAGCATCTATACGCTTATCTTTGTGTAGATAAACTCATTTCTTTTTATTTCAGTATTGATAACCAAAGCCAGAAATGGAGCTATGCTGTGGAGAGGAGCTTTGGAGTTCTATTGTAAATCATTAACTTTGTTTAAAGGAATGTCACAGTGATAGGACCTGAAGCTAATAATCATAGTAAAATGTGACTTTCTGGTTCCAGTTCTTTGGCCAACAACCACATCAAAGCCCTACCGCGGGATGTCTTCAGTGAGTTGGATTCTCTGATTGAACTGTAAGTAATGAAATTTTAAGGTTGTGTGGACATGTCATTGTGCACCAGTTAATCGTATCTTTCTATTCCCTCTTTCCCTTTACTGCATTTCTTTTAAAGCTTAGCCAAAAATCTGTAACAAAGGCGTACATGCTGGTTAACAGCATAGAGTTGTATTGTGTTAGCTTTTGCCATTTTATAGTATGTTTTGTCTAAGCCAATGGCAAATTAGACCTGCTGGATAGAAGGTTCCACTGTCTCCAAAACAGCATATTGATCTGCTTCATTGTCAAGTGTTTCTCTGTTCCTGTTGGGCTGAGTTTAATAAGATCTTCAGGTCTCAATTGTGGTTAGGAAAACAGTTTTTTTTATAATGTCTTGCAACATTTTTTTTAAAAGATCTACTTATTTGCTTGAAAGGCAGTTACAGAGAGGTAGGAGAAAGAAAGGAGAAGAAGAAGAGAGGGAGAATATCTTCCATCCACTGGCTTGCTCCTCTAATGGTTCAACAGTAAGAGCTTGGCCAGGCTGAAATCAGAAGCCTGGAGCTCCATCTGAGTTTCCCACATGGGGGCAGGAACTCAAGTACTGCCTTTCCTGGTGCATTAGCAGGGAGCTGGATCAGAAGTGGCACAGCCAGGACTTGAACTTGTACTCCAATATAGGATGCCAGTGCTGAAGATGGCAGCTTGTCTCACTGCACCACAGTGCAGCCCTGGTGTCCTGCTTTTGTTTCTGAGGAATGGTAAATGGAGCTGGTGAGTAAGTACAAGGGCTCAGATGTATGAAATGTCAGTTTTTCAAACTTCCATTTTTTAGTGGTTTTCAGTGTATCAGGATGTTAATAATTTGGGGACTTTATGCCACTACCAAAGCACATCAGACGTGTCTCTTTCTTCAGGTCCTTGTTTGTGTTTTGTTTTTAGAGATTTAAGGGGTAATAAATTTGAATGTGACTGCAAAGCCAAGTGGTTGTATCTGTGGCTGAAGATGACCAATTCCACTGTCTCGGACGTGCTCTGCCTCGGACCACCCGAGTACCAGGAGAAGAAGCTCAATGACGTGACTAGCTTTGACTATGAGTGCACAACCACAGGTATGAGGAACCTTGGTCAGCGAAGATGTGTGTTCGGGATGAGCATCTACTTTACACTGTCAACAGGTGTAGGGATGCATGAACACAGGTGCTACTATTTCAGAGGTTTATGCATTCTAAAAGAATAGTGTGATGAGGAAAAATATTCATGCAGAAATATTTTTTGCTATCTACACTGGCTTTCATTTTGATTCTTTATAGACTTCAGATTTTTCTACAGGTTTTTGCCCCCTGTGGTTAAAGTGAAAATATAAACATGTGAGTTTGGCATGGAGTCACATTGTCATCAGTGTAGATCTTATGGAAAGCCAGGGCAGAAGGCCTAAAGGATTCTGGTTGCTGTCCCCTTGGTCTGTTTATACAGTTTCAGGCTCCAAGAGAAAACTAAAATGTCATTTTCTGCACTGTAAGCACACACAGGGAGCAGGTGAGCGTCTTCCTTCACAAGGCCTCAGTGGCGTCTCTGCAGCTTCTACCAACAGGCATCCCAAGCATGTCCTGCTTACAAACAGGCATTTGGGCTGGGAGCTGACTTCTGCAAAAGGCCCAGGGCAAGTCAGGAGAAGACACCAGCATGAGAACTCAGAAAACGGCAGTAGAAACTCAACAGACACACAAGTGTCAAGAACAAAGGGTCACATTTAAGTTAGTCCCTGCTCCCTTACCCATCTCAGAACAAAGAAAAAATTACTTCTAAGACTCTTTGTAAATAAGGGGCCTGCCAAGTCGTGCTCTTTTTTTGACAGAAAAGCTGAGCCTTCAGAACATGCCCTTTCTTTGTCAAGCAGGGCTTTTGCAGCTCTGTGATAAAGGGCAGGTGGCCCTTGGCCAGCGCAGGCCACTGGGAGGCTAGCTGCTGTTTAGCTGTGTAACAGTGACGGAGATCCTTGTAACATTTGCACTCCCAAAGTGGCAGCCAAGGTCTTTGGTGGGAAATGCCAACCCAAGCTCACTGGAGCTCCTTTTCTCTTGTTTTCTAAATTTCCTGGAGCATTCTCTAAACCCCAAAATCAAGTTAACATCTTTTCTATTGCTCATTTTCTACTAGTCCACCCTGTTAGTAAACGTTGCCAGGCTTTGAAAGGAATGAGATGGGCTTCTGAGGTCCTGGAGCATAAGAAGAATTTATTGGCAAAAACACGATGTCTGATCTAGGGCCCTAAATATGATTATAAAAATGGTCCAGGTTTACAGAATTGGTATTGCAAGGAGGTGCTTTGGGAAGTGAGACTATCTGGACCCAAATCCAGACTTGGGGTGGATAGCACGAGTCTCCTCATGGGTTTTCAGGTTTTCTGTCTTAGGTAAACATCTCCTCCTTGGTAATGTTTCTCATGACACTTAGGAAAGTCAGCAATAGCATGAGGCCTCAGATCAGACAGAGCAGATGATTCAGTCTTAGCTGTTCTTTTATTCCTTTGAGGCTCATACACTATCTAATGCTCGCAGTTTCTCCCATCCTGACAAAAAAGAAGAAACAAAGAAAATAAAAACAATACAATGAAATCGTGACCCACCTTCACAAGTGGAGGATCATCAAAAGTTCATGGAAAGCAGAGTGATGAAAATGCAATGCATGGATTTCCAAAACACCTACATCAAACTAGACTTGCCTCTTTATTCCATTTTTCCTACGAACAGTTTGAGGTCCCCTTGACTAATCTCAGCCTGTAGGAACTGGCTCGATTAAGTGGGAGCATCTGGAACCCTGTCCTCTGCTTGCGTCAACCTCTGTCCTACGGTGAATAGCCCCTACGAGGGGGCTGGCGCGAAGCACAGTCCCAGTGATGGGTTTGCCTCATAGCTCAGATTTGCCGAAAAGGAGTCCACACCTTCAGGTAGAGCTGTTTCCCCAGACAGAGGAAGGCATGGAAACAGAGCATAATTAATGCCACACAGCCACCACTGGGCTACCACAACTCTTTAGATTAATCATGGTCGTGCCATAACGCTCCTCTTCCCATCTATTTTTAACCACGTCAAAAATCCCTGTTACCTTTCAGTGGTTCCCATGTTGGGTGGATAATTCACTGCTTTCCCTCAGAGGGAGTGAATCTTGCATCCTAATTGTCCTGCTAGCTTCCCTATTTCAGGGCTGATGAAAATGCAAAGAGAAATAATGCATTCATGTGCAGTTTCCCTCTCCACAGGCTCGGCATCATGTATAATTTATTTTCTGCAAGTGCTATAAATAGCAATCCAAAAAAAAAAAAAAGCAGTCAATTACAGTGGGAAAAGGGTCTAAATCCTAACAGTTCCACTGACATCATGAACTTAATCTGGTATGAATGGAAGTGGCGGCTCTTTTGACAGAGCGTGCATTAATATTTTAGCGCCAGGAAATTGATGTCATGTTAACATGTATGTTCCTTGAAATAGGTCTACAATGTACATGCCTTTTGTGTTTGTGAAATGTAAGTGGACATGGGAGGTTAGAGACGGTACTAAATTCCACCAGACACATCCAAGCACACAGGTTCACCTAATTATTCTCTTCCTTTTTCATCACTTTTTAAAAAACATTTATTCTATTTTTATTGGAAAGTCACATATACAGAGAGAAAGGTCTTCTGTCCACTGGTTCACTCCCCAAGTGACCATAGTGGCTGGAGCTGAGCCAATCTGAGGCCAGCAGGCTGGAGCCTCTTCTAGGTCTCCTATGAAGATGCAGAGTCCTAAGGTTTTGGGCTTTCCCAGGCCACAAGCAGGGGAGCTGGAAGGAAGCAGGGCCACTGGGACCAGACCCGGCACCCATATGGGATCCCAGCTATTGCAAGGTGAGGACTTTAGCTGCTAGGCCACTGTGCCAGGCCCCCTCCTTCATCGCTTTTTTGAGGAAGGACTCAGGATAGGGTCTCCTATTTAGAATGAAATTTGAAATTCACATGATTTGACAGTCTGTGTTGTACCAGAAAGTCAAGATACTGGGGAACCACTGCTTGGGGAAAGTCCATTAAGAAAGGACCAGGAAAGGCCTGGCATGATGGCTCACCTTGCAAGTGCTGGGTGCTAGTTGGTGTCCTGGATGTTCCACTTCCTGTCCAGCATGCTGTTTGTGGCCTGGGAAAACAGCCCAAAGCCTTGGGGTCCTGCACCCATGTGGGAGACCCAGAAGAAGCTACTGGCTTCAGATTAGCTCAGCTCTGGCCATTGCAGCCATTTGGGGAGTGAACTAGCAAATGGAAGATCTTTTTCTTTATCTCTCCCTCTCTCTGATCTGCCTTTTCAGTGAAAATACAGAAATCTTTTTTTATTAAATAAAAGAAAAGGACTAGGAAAAACAAGATTTATAAAATGCATTCCATTCTGGCAACTCTTCTTCATCCTGGAATACCTCAGTACAAACGGGCATGTTTAAGTCTGCAATTTAAACAGCATTTTTTCCAAGCTAGTTCTCAGGTTTCTGAGAATTAAAAGCCCAGTTGGGAGATGAACAGGAACAAGGAGAGGAGTGAGTTATGGGCATCTTGGGGTGGGGGTTGGGAGCTAGACCTTTTGGCAGATTTGGAGGAGATGTGGGAGGGCAGTATCCCACCTCCTCGGCTGTGTTGGACCGAACACAGCAGTGATCTTGGCATCCTTTGAACACCCGGATAAAGGACTGTGCAGTAACCACATGTCTGCATCTTCCCATTCACCTGTGGCTGAACCTGTGCAGTCAGCAACACCTTCTGATTCCTCCCCTGGTTCTGCTTGTGCCAGCTGAAATAAACAGAAAGTCATTTTTTTCTGTTCTCAATCTTTGCTATTTTGGGGGTACAGGGGTGAGCTTGGAGCCACTGGGACTCTTCCCTGAACTATTAACAGGTCACATGTTACTTTCATTGTTCTGTCTGCCAAATGATGGAGTGATGGCCACAGATGAGGTGTGGTACTATACACTGACATGCACTGTTTGGTCTCTACGGCAACCTCATGCACTAGATGTCACTCATTCACTGATGAGGAACCTGTGGCTCAGCTTTCTTGCCCAGGGTCACATGGCTCCACGTGGCAGTACAGGAGCCTGAAGTCCTGGCTGTCTTAATCTCAAAGCCACCCTGCCGTCACTTGGCAGAGGCCACCCTGCCAGTTGCCCCCACTGTTCCTTGGTCACCTCCTGCCTGTTGGGCTGCCCTGCTTGCCTCCCCTTCACTGCCTGTGATGCAGTCTGCCTGTCTCTCCTGCCTGTACCTGCCACTCAGCCTCTGGCCCATCTTCACAGTCTTCAGAGAGTGGGCTCTTGGGTATGACCCAGCCACCCAGCATGAAGTGCCTTTTCTGTGTCCCCAGAACAAGAGGAGGGGCACCTCCAAAAGTCAGTGTGGACTGAGCCTCGCTTGGTGTGAGGCTGAGTAGGGATCATAGTACATGGTGAGAAAATTGAGGCAGGGATAGGTTGTGTCATTTGCAAGCAGGTGATGACCCAGCTCCAGCTTCTTGGATTAAAATCTGCTCAAATGCGCATGCTCCAGTGGAGGTAGGGCATGTGGAGGACAGGATCCATCTTTTCCCAGATCTGGGCTCACCATTTGTCAGTGTTAAGCCCTGAGACAGTATGGCTTTATCTGTCTCTGCTATCAGGCTGGAGAGGAGGTTGCCTCTGTATCATGAGCAGGTGAACTGGGCTGGGGTAACCCCAGGTCTAAAGGGCAGGATATGGTTGCAGGTATTCTTCGTGGGGCCTACCTCTGCCCACACTCTCCAGCCCTGATTGCCTCCTGCCACCGGACCTTCACCTGACCCACTTCCCCCACCTCATCCCTTGTTACATGGCTTCTGCTCCTTCTGCCGTCTCCCTCCTGAATCACCCCTTTGGTGCTTTTCTCATCCAACCTCTCTCCTGAGGTTTCCCACTCTGGTGATTTCTTGGTTGGCTGCCGTGGACTTGAACTGTGGGATGCTCAGAGAGATGTCGGACCCAGGCCTGACCCCAAGGTGCCCTGGATCAGGATGCATGGCATGCTGGCTGTGTGCTGCATGCCAGGCACGTACCCTCTCTGGGCTCCAAGATCCCTCCCACAGCTCCACATTAGTGCCTTGCAATGAGCCTGGCCAGTTAGGGAGGTGTCATGAAAGTTGTTGGTGTCTTTTATTGATTATTTTAAAAGATATGTTTGTTTATTTGAAAGGGAAAGCACTTGGGTAGCCCTCCGCTGGGGAGCTGAATCAGAAGTGGAGCAGCCAGGACTCGAACCGGTGCTCCAGTATGGGATACTGGTGTTACAGGGAGCAGCGTAGCTCACTGCACCACAATGTCGGCCTCAGTGTGTGCTTCTTAAAGAGACTCTTCCCTGAGTTTGTCTACACACCCACTCTCTTACCATGTTCCTTGCATCACCTGGTGGTTGTGTTTCCCTACCAAGATTGAATGCAGTGAGTCTGTTGTAGTCTTGGACAGCAATAAGGCTGTGGAACATGGACTTGCCATGAAAGATGCGAGAGCCTAAGCTGGGGTGCTCAAAAACAAACATGATTGCTTTTCCTGTTTGCCAAGCCTGGAACTACATCCATATCAGAGGAGGCACAGTGCTTACCACACTGCAGGCTTGGCACCCAGGCAGCACATTTCTACCCACAGGGCTTCGTAGCATCCTTTTCTAGGAGTGTAATATTAGTTGTGAACCTGCAGGGGCGCTGTTTGCCACCAGGGGTTTGCCCGGCTAGGGATTTGTAACAGGTGATAAGAAATCCCATGTCTGCTAAGTTTGAGAAGTGTCTGTCTGCAGAGGCTGTTCTGTGAGGGCAGGAAATGTCATGGTCTAAGGGCACCAGGCACTGACTGATCACAATCACTTGCAGTTTCAGGGGTTCTGAGGCCACCTGGCTGTCTTGTCATTTTGACACACTGATTCACCAAAATGATTTAAAACGCTGAGCTGCTTAGCCCAACTGATGAAGCTGTTTATCTATTGGAGGTTGTATCTGGAGCTCTCCTCTTCCCCCCTCCCTCCCTCCCTTCCTTCCTTTCTTCGGTCCTTCCATTTTTAAAAATATTTTATTTTGTTTTAGTTGAAAGGCGGATTTACAGAGAAAAAAGGGGAGAGAGAGAGAGAGAGATCTTGCCTCCACTGATTCTCTCCCCAATTGGTTGCAATGGTCGGAACTAGGACCGCCAGAAAGCAGGAGCTTCTTCCCGGTCTCCCACATGGATGCAGAGGCCCAAGTACTTCGGCCATCTTTTGCTACTTTCCCAGGCACATTAGCAGGGAGCTGGACTTTGGAAGTGGAGCTGCTGAAACTCAAACCAGTACCTATCTAAGATGCCAGCACCACAGGTGGAGGCTTAACTTACAACTCCATGGCCCCAGCCCCTGGAACTGAGCTTTCAGTCAGATGGCTCCGTGCCAGCCAGACTCCTCCTGGGATCTCCCAGAGTGACACATGTTGTGATGGCCCCAGTGCTCCCGTCCTGTCCTCCACTTCGCCCTGCCTCCCCTGTCCTCTTTGGATTTGAGGCAAGCAGGGCAGGATGACAGTTGCTGGTTCCCACCAGAGATTACACTGAGTACTTGTTTTCAACCCCCCTTCCCAGATTTTGTTGTTCATCAGACTCTGCCCTACCAGTCGGTGTCAGTGGATACGTTTAACTCCAAGAACGACGTGTTCGTGGCCATCGCCCAGCCTGGTATGGAGAACTGCATGGTCCTGGAGTGGGATCACATCGAGATGAATTTCCGGAGCTACGACAACATCACAGGTGGGTTGTGGCTGAAAGCAGGTGGCTGCCCTGAGTCCTCATGGCCTAAAGCCATGAGAGCAAAGGCTTTCTCTGTCTCCATTGCCTTGAGGGGGTTGGGGACAGGCAGCTTGGCTGTCTAACTTATCAGGGTCGGGGGCTATACTGCAGCCCACCCTCTTCCTCTTGCCCATCTTTCCCTGGGTGTGAGCATTATTAGTGAGAACAGACATGGGAAATGTCTTGGCAGGTGATCCTATTCATTGTTGGTGATCTTTGGAGAAGGCAGACAGGGGGACCTGTGTGTGGGAGGTGGGAGGTCTTTCCTGTTAGTCACCAGGAAGCTCCAAGTCCAGAACAGTTCAGGCAGCATAAAATCCCTGCAGTTTTAGCTGCCGAGTGGTATCTTCTGGCTTTCACTAAGCCGATTGTTAACTAGTGGTACCACGCACGTACTCACACCATCCTGTTCCTGGTACCCCCTACCCATGCCAGGCCTTTGTTATCACTGCTCTCATTTCATAAGTGCTTAGAAAATAAGAATTAATGGACCTGCAAATCCAGGCCTTGGGATATGACTAAGTTATCACCTCTTTCGACTGTTGTGGGCTCCCAGTGTGTTAGCATCAGGCAAAACTTAAGTGATAGAATCAAAATAATCTTTGAAAGACTTCTCTTTTATCCAAGTGCAATCTGATAATAACCCTATCTTTGTAAACAGTGATGGCTGCACCAACCTCATTAGCACCCTGTGGGAGGATTTCCTTTCCCAGTTCCCTAGGAGCAGCCTTGAATAGAAGCCCATGGAGGAGAATTCTGGGAGGGGGAGGTGCCTAGGGCTAGGCCTTTGCAGCAGCAGGTGCATGGAGGTATGGAGGCTGGAGGGCTTATTTTTACTCCTTTGGGTATGAGAGCTGCTAAGCAGCCTATCTCACAGTGCCTGGAGGTCTGGCAGTTCAGAGGAAGATGTATTTCTGATGCTCTGGGGCCTGCTGGGGCCTGGCACCCAGTTCCCCTCCCTGAGAGGAGCCACGTGGAAGTGCAGACCCAGCATGGAACGGCTCAGGTGAATCCGCCAGGGACACCGCGGCCTCAGAACCTGAAGCCCAGTCGAGATTTTAAGGGCAAGTGGCAAGAGAGGCATGCTCTGACTTGCTGGCCTTTCGGGCTTTCCCCCACCGCCATCTCCGAGTGGGAAGAACAGCGTAAATCTTTATTCTATCTTGTGTCTATACAAGGACTTCCCATGCCCATCTTTGTTCTGGCCTATGAGGTGCCAACTACTGGTTTATCTCACTGGAAACTCCCAGGAGCCCTTCAAGCTACAATTGCTTGCTGGCAGGTGGAGGACAAAGGCTCTCTTCTCAAAGAGAAGGTGGCCCGTGTGCCAGAATGGAATTTAGGTGATACTCCTGACTCTGGGAAAACCCTGTGGTGTCCAGGGCTCAATTTTCTCCTCTGTGAAATGGGTCATGGAGGTGCCTTTGGAATGTTGTGCCCATCACTGAATGCTGAGCACCTGGCAAACAACTTCTTGCTGGTGACTTCTTTCTCACAAGCTCTTGAGTGAATCAGTATGTTGAGTCAGCATTGCACCCCACCCTTTCCTTCCTCTAGATAGAAGGGGACAACATTGCCTTCCACCTGTCCTTCTGATGCCAGCTGGTGGCATCCCCAAATTCACTCATTCATGCACGTGTGTGCTCCGAGCCAGGCATGTTGTAGCTGCTGCAGACTTGGCAGTGAACCTGCCAGATGAAAACCTATTGCCATCAAAGAGTTGATGCCATTGTGGGAGAGAGGGGGAAGGAAGAGTGCAAGTGGCAGCTGTGTAAAGGTAGGCCTTGGAGGAGAGTCTGGTCCAGGGAACGCTCTTGCGAAGAGCAGCTTGTTTCATACTTGTGGACACAGGGATTGGTCCGTGTGGAGGGCTGGGAGAAAAGCATCCTAGGCAGAGGGAACAGAGAGTGCAGGTTCCCGTGGTGGAAGCATCTTCCCTGCATGAGGGCCTGCAGGGGCTAGAGGGACATGGCAGGTGACCATGGAGGAGATGACTGTGAAAGGGCTTGGGGGCCCTGGCAAGGACTTGGACTTGATTCTGAGGCTGCTACAAAGCCAAGAAGGTTCTGTGCAGAGCTGAGCTGGATTTTCTCCAGCAGCCTTTGCAGGAGCAGACAACCCCAAATCCGTAAGCAGTGGGGGCCTGGACCACATACGGGCTGCAGAGGTAATGGAAAGGACATGGTGGGTGCAGGTGGAGTGAGTGTGGCCAGGGCAAGGGTCCTGGATGGCTCTTGCTGGCTTCCAGGAATTCATTATCCCTTTGGTCTCCAAGTCTGAATCTTCTGAGAGCTGGGGAGCCCTGACATGTAGCCTATCGGATCCTCTTGTCCCAGTCAAGTTCAACAAACAAAACCTAAGAGTGTGGTGAGTTAGTTTCTGGACCCCTAAGCCCAACCAGTTGTGGATTGTCCTGGCTCCAGCTCTTAGTGGTTGGTGAGCTTGGCCGGATGGTTTAATTTACATGACCCCCTTCATCGTAAGTGGAAATTTTGTCACTTTCCATTTCTTCTGTGAAATGGGACCAGCATAGTAATGGATTCTGGGTGGGGGTGGGGGCAGGATTTCATGGGCTGATGTCTGTCACCACAATGCCTGGCTAATGGGAAATCTAATGCTCTCTTTTTCTTTGTAGACAGTAACTTCCTGTCTTCAGTTAAAACCTTTCTGTGACTTTGAAAAGCACAGGAATGGAGGGGACGGTAGCAGAGAACACCTGAGTGAGGCGGGGAAGAAAGTAATTGCAGAGTTGGGTGGACTGCTTGGCGGAGGAACACATGTGGCTGACTCTCGCCAGCTAGGGTGCAGAGTGGTGTGAAGAACAACCTCACAGCATGCATACATGCGAAGGCAAAGCCTGGGAACCACTGCCTTTAAACAAGAGCAGCTCAGGCATGGCTGGGCTTCCTTTCACTGGCTGGCCAGCCTTATTTATCATCTTGTTGGGCCGGGGAATGATTTCAGAGTCAGGATGGAAGGGGTAGGGTTTTCTTAGTCTTTGCCCAGCGCGTATGGGGCCCTACAGTGCCAGGGGGCACTTGTGTTCCTACTGATGCCATGGTGTGCAAGGGACAGCTCCAACAGCCCACCAGTCTCTAAGAGAAAGAGAGGAACCCATGGTCTCTTACTCTCTCTGCATCTCTGTTCAACTCTTCTATGTTTTGTTGGCCTGTTGATTTCTGTATAACAAGCATTTTAATTATATAATATCCCCTCCTTCCTTACACACACACACACACACACACACACACACACACACACACACACACCATGATCTCAGCTTCCATGACAACTCCAAGGCCAGAAACAGTCCCCTGGACAGAGGCATTCTGAGACAGTGCCAAGAAAGGGATTCTATCTTTGGCGGTCCCTTCCCGTGACACCTCTGGGTGGCAGAGGCCTTCCCTAGCCAGGTGGCTTGGACAAGGACGAGAGGTAGCCATCCTCAGCTAGCGTGGGCAGGGAGCAATCACCACAGCTTTTGAAGAGCAGTTTGAGCCCCCAAGTGTTAATGAGGATGTTTGCCCCAACAATTCTCACTTTGAAGAACATTGCCAGATGGTTTCAAAACATGTTACTTAAGCATATGTTAAAGGAAGTGTTATTTAGCAATAATGAAGAACTAGAATTAACTGTGGTGTCCCACAATAAGAGATTAGTTAAATAAAGTATGGTGCAGCCATACAAGATGATATCAAAAAAACACAAACTGCAGAAGATTCAGTTGTATGGGAAATTGCTCACAAAATAGGGGACAAGCAGGAAACTGAGTTTTTTTTTTTAAATGCATGTATACTGCAAGTCCCAGTTTTTTTTAAAAGGAGGCTATTTGAATATTGACATAAAGAGGAAAGAAACAGATCAACTAAATGTTTGTGTGCAGTAGAGTGGGCTTTATTTTCATCTTTGTGCTTTTTGAAGTTTTAACAATTCATTTATTGAGAAGCAGGGAATCAGGAGATTTAGACACTCTCCTGTCGACTCCTCAAATGTCCACAAAAGCCAGGACTGGGTCAGGCTGAAGCTGGAAACCTGCAACCTAGTTCAGATCTTCCTTCCATATGCATAACAGGAACCCAACTCCTAGAGCCATCAGTGCTGCTTCTTAGCATGGATACTAGCAGGAGAGTGGAGTCAGGAGCCAGAGCCAGGAGTTGAACCCAGGCATTCTGATAGGAGAGGCCATATCTAAACTGTTGTTTTAACTTCTAGGCTACACACTTGCTTCTGTTTTTTAGTAGCAGAATATAGATTGGAACCAGTTTCCCTGGATTTGGATTCCAGGTTCCTTGTGACTTTGTATAAATTTCCCCCCTCTCTGTCTCTATGGCAGTGCATGATAGGAAGAACACTTGTCATGAGCATGGGAAGCATGGCATGAATTATATGCATGGAAAAGTTTTCCAACACTGGCTGGTCATGAAGTCCCTACTTTAAGTTTTTTTTCCCATTATTATCTTCATAATTTGCTTTGGTGAAAGTTGAACGTATTTATACTCAGAAAAGAATGTGATCATTTGTTGCAAACAAAGGAAATGGATTGGGTTCTTGCAAGAAGGCCAGGATGGCGATAAAATAAACACCACTCCTTGTCTGCTCTCACATTTAATCCTCAGGACAGAAATTGGGTAATTATCCTTGTAATTTACAGATCCACTTCACTTTGATCTAAATTACCTAGAAAATTAGGGACAAGAAATAACTTTTAATAGAATTTTGTGGATCAAATGTCTATAGCCTTTTACAAAACATTATTTGTAGGTTGGCCTGGGCGCTGTGTGGGAGAGGACTTCGGGCAGTGACCAGAGCGGACAGTGACCTCAGGACCTGACCCCTTGCCCTGCTGACCTGCCTGAGTAGGACCATCCAAACTGTTGCTTATTTCACTGATGCTTTGTGGTACCTGCCATGGGGAAGGGGGGCTGGGGTTTGGATTATCAAAACTATTGCTTCATTTGCCCCCTAATGATAGTGGCTAAGCATTAACCACCCATGCTCTGGATGGAAAACACCGACTGTGTCTTGTATCCCTTAGTCTTTCATGCAGTCCCCCTGTAAGGGCAGGGCTGCTAGCATCAGTCTTGTGAGCTAGCCTGGCATGGGGCCACCGAGAGCATGCAAGGTGCATGGCTGACTTTGAAGTTCAGACCACCTTGTATAGCATCATTAACATTATTCTGGGCTTCCTTTGGCTTAGGAAATCAAAAATTGCTTATTATCTTTTGAAAATTACTTTTTGATGTGTCTTATATTTTATCTGCACAACATAGAGACAACCAGACCTTCTGTCCAGTGTTTCATTCCCTAAATGCCTATAACAGCTGGCAGTGTCTGGGGCTGAGCCAGGCTGAAGTCAGAAGCGTGGGACTCAAGTCTGGATCTCCCACGTGGTTGGTAGAGGCCTAAGTGCTTGAGTTGGTGCTTGAGAAGATGCTGGAGCTGAGAGTGGAGCCAGGCCTTGAACCTAGCCACTCACCTATGGGATATGGGCATCCCAGGCAGTGTTGCAACTGCTATGTTCTGGGGTGTGAGCGAGATCATGCCAGACATGTCTAAGGTTTACTAAGGAGTCTTTACCAACCAAGCTTGGTGATAACAGGGCCCACTAGAAATAGCAAATCACAAGTCCATATGGCAATCCAGTCAATTGTAACCCCAAAAGGAACAAATGGTCATTACCCTCAAGTCCATACATTAAGCTGAAGATCTATGTCCCAGCTTGTCCAACAATATAAGTTATCCTAAGAGACATGCAATGAATAATCTGGACACGCTTATAAAGCTGCAGACATTCACCCCTCCCCGGGCCCTTGCCCTCATTCCACCACTGCTAGGCCTCACCTCTCCTGGAACTCTGGACAGTACACAAACCAGAAATACAAAGTATCTTAACATTGCTGTCTTCATTGTCCCAGACACACAGGGGCCATGCTCAGGGGATACATGTCCTCAGAGGTACTGGGGAGGCCAAGAGTCGGAGTGCCAGAGCAATGGAAACATGTCCAAGACAATGAGCACCTCCTTATCATGAGCCTTTAAACAACAATGCAGTACCATCCCCTCTCAGATGATAGGTGAGAGACACAGGTGGGCAGAAGGGAATACCTAGGTGGTTGGGGGAGTGACTTCCAAGCTCATGACCCTGAACTAGCTGACTACATCACCATAGCTGTGCTGAATGCCTGACTGCTCTGTCTGTATGACTTGATTCCTTTTCCCTTCCCTTATTTTCCAGAAGAAGCATCTTGAATCGCCTCATTCTGTCCCATGGAGACAGAAAATGACTCTTTTTTTTAAAGGACATAATTGCTTTTGAAAAATAATTTTAATCAACACATGCAAATTGTGTGTATTTATTGTTCTCAAATCTGTATACATTATAGAATGGCTGAACCAAGCATCCTGTTTAAAAATAGCATGAGGGCAGTTTATTCAGAGAGGTGGTACATTTCCTGAAGTGTGTGCTGGCCTCTCGAGACTTCAGAGACCCTAAATACCTTAACTACTCATACCTCTGGAGGCACATGCTTGACAAAGCATTTTTTGAAAATGATTTTATCCATTCTTAAGTTTTTTTTTTTTAATATATATGAATGGCAGAATAGCAGAGAGAATGAGAGAGAGGCCTCTCCATCGACTGGTTCACTTTGGAATTTCATTCATGTCCAGGGGTCCAAGCACTTGGACCATCTTCTGTTGCCTTCCCAGGTACATTGGCAGGAAGCTGGGTGTGAAGCTGAGCAGCTGGGACTTGGATGAGGGTCCATATGGGATGCTGTTGTTGCAGGTGGTGGCTTCACCACAGTGCTGGCCCCTGCAGTTTATAATTCGTTCACCGGGGATTCTCACTCAAAGCCTCTCTCCTCACCTTGTACCTCTGGAGATGGGCCTCACTGTAGGAATAGATGCGAACATTTGGTCTGTCTACTCCCTCAGGTCTCTTCCAAAAAGTGGAATTGCTGTGTCCAGTGGCGACTTGGTGCTCAGCTGTCCAGCCATAGGCCATACCGTGTTGCATGTTGGCAGTGCTGTCTGTCTCTTCCTGCCAGTCATGCCGCAGGCTGCAGTCTCCCTAAGGAGGTGCGTCTTGAACTGCAGTTGCACTAATGCCCCTCCTTCTCTTTGGGTGTGCAGGCCAATCCATCGTGGGCTGTAAGGCCATCCTCATCGACGACCAGGTCTTCGTGGTGGTGGCCCAGCTCTTTGGCGGCTCGCATATCTACAGATATGATGAAAGCTGGACCAAGTTCGTCAAGTTCCAGGACATAGAAGTGTCGCGCATCTCCAAGCCCAATGACATCGAGCTGTTTCAGATCGACGATGAGACGTTCTTCATCATTGCCGACAGCTCCAAGGCAGGGCTGTCCACCGTCTACAAGTGGAGCAGCAAGGGCTTCTATTCCTACCAATCTCTGCATGAGTGGTTCCGTGACACGGATGCGGAATTTGTGGACATCGATGGGAAATCACACCTCATCCTGTCCAGCCGCTCCCAGGTCCCCATCATCCTCCAGTGGAACAAGAGCTCCAAGAAGTTTGTTCCGCACGGTGACATCCCGCACATGGAGGATGTGCTGGCGGTGAAGAGCTTCCGCATGCAGAATGGCCTCTACCTGTCGCTCACCCGTTTCATCGGGGACTCGAGGGTCATGAAGTGGAACAGCAAGCAGTTCGTGGAGATCCAGGCGCTCCCGTCCCGGGGGGCCATGACCCTACAGCCCTTTTCTTTTAAGGAGAATCACTACCTGGCCCTAGGGAGCGACTATACCTTCTCCCAGATCTACCAGTGGGACAAGGAGAAGCAGCTCTTCAAGAAGTTCAAGGAGATCTACGTGCAGGCGCCACGTTCCTTCACAGCCGTCTCCACTGACAGGAGAGATTTCTTTTTTGCATCCAGTTTCAAAGGGAAAACAAAGATCTTTGAACATATCATCGTCGACTTAAGTTTGTGAGGGTGTGATGGGGGTGTTTAACAGGTGGGTAGAATTAGCTCTCAGAAGGGAAGACCAAGCAGAGGAGAAATAAATAAACAATAAAATAAAATAAAAGCCAGGCTCAGAGCTCTGAAGTTCCAAAATGTGCCAGGAAAATAATTAGAAGTTTTCAACTGTTTAGATCTCACATTGTAATCGGGGATTGCATTCATTGGCTAACTGCATGATGTGACCATCCTCCCGTTTAAAAAGTCATCGTGACGCCTGTTACTTCTGAGAAAAGAGTACAGCATTTACTCTTATCATTTAGAAAAGTAATGTGCTTCTGTTCTTCTCTTTCTCTTACTTTTGAACGAGGAAGGAGAAAATTGGGTAAAGTGCAGCAGCTCTTATAATGAAATAATAGTAATAATAATAATAAAAAAAAAAGAAAACAACTATGGGCCCTCCTTGTTTTGTGTTAAGAAGCTTAAGGCTACAGTCACTTGGGAAGATGCTCGAGTGACGGGTCTGCACACTGTGCAGCACTCGGCTCGTGTGAGCCCTCCTGCTTCTTCCCAAACCCTTAGGAACAGAACCCTGGCTCTTCTGTCAGCTCCTATGTCTGCCTGTCATGGCTGTGTTAACATAGTGTGTGATGTTGCCTCCTCCGCCTCAGAGAAACTATGCTGGCGGCACATTTGTGGGCTCAGCGTGGCCTGTGGCCCGGGAAGGAGACAGAGCCATCGTTCCCTTTTTTCTGTGCTTCAAAGCTGACCCGCATGGTGGCCAGAACAATGATGCTTGTTTGATGTTCTCCATGCCGCACACCTGCCTCTCCTTTCCTTGAGTGCATGGGTAACTAGCAGGTAGAGCCAAAGACTGAATGGTGCTTTTCATCCTATCCTTTAGGGGGAGGGGGAGGTATCGCTAGCTGATGTGCATTTGGTATAGTTTTTGAAGTGAGATTTTACCGAGGCAATGGGCCTTTCACACAGATCTCAGTGTGCTTTGAAGCCTACAGGTGGCCTTTGATTGACGCACGTCCTTGCCCTCCAGTGAACAACTTAGTATTTCAGGTGGTAGATACTGGCTTCCTCCCTACCCTGCCTACCTCCCTGCTCCACCAACAGTCCCACACGGTTAACTTGCTGGTGTTGCTGCGGCCTCCGCTGCCTCTGCTGCTGTCCAGTGAAAGGTGCTAGAGAGCTCAGGGTACTTAGGATGAGGACACTCTTTCCTCTCCTTGACTTTGGCAGAGGAGACCCTGGAGATGCCTGGGCCACCCAGGGCCTTAGTAGCAGGAGTTCTTCCTGGGTCCGAGGGTGCAAGCTGATTAGCAGGGCCAGTTGTGGAACCAGACAAGCTAAACACCTAGACTAAGGCTACTCCCAGGGCACTGCGAAATGGGCCTCTCTGCTGTGGTCCACAGGGAATGCTCCTAGACACTAGTTTTATAGAAAGGGCCTGCTGGGCTTTCTTACATGACTGGATCCATGCTAAGAACACCACATGAAGGCTCGCAGAGAGAGCAACCCATCCACTCCTCCCCTGGTCAGGAAAGCAGCACGGTGGTGTGCTTGTTTGATGATTCACTGGCACATCCTAAGTAGGCAGATGTTAGACTGTAAGTGTGAATGTTTGTATTTCCCGGCTATAAGCAGCACAGACCAAGACCAGAAATAGCGCTCAGAAGGAGCCCAGCCGTTGATGGCCAGTCAGCCCCCACATACATTCTGTGAACAGGAGTCTAAGGAACCAACTCTCCTACGCGCATATAGCATATCCATGTTGTTGCTGGCAATAAGAACAAACAAACAGCAACAAAGTTTTTTTTTTTTTTTAATTACCTATTTGGGAGAAGGAGAGAGAGAAACAGAGGCAGAGAGGAAATAGACATCCATTGGTTCACTCCACAAACACCCAGAGCAGCAGAGGCTGGGTTAGGGCTGAAGCCAGGAGCCAGGAACTCAAAGCAGGTCTCTCTCATCACTGCTGGCTCGCAGGGTGTGCATTAGCAGGAAGCTGGAGCTGGAAGTGGAGCTCTAATGCTGTAGTGTGGGCTGTGAGCACCTTAAGCAGGACACTATGAACCATTCCTGCTTTTCTTTTGCATTTCCCCCCGCCCTTGGTTTATTTGGATTGATTACAAGTATCCAGAGAATGGGACGACTCTGCTGATAAAGACAGGTAAGCTGTTCTTTCTGGTGTCTGGAGCCCTCAGATAACCTTGGCCAGAAGACAGGCATCTGGCCAATGGTGTAGAGACATTGAGATGGTCCCAGCACAAACACAGGTTGGAAACTATACTCCTCCATTCCAGCCTCCAACAAAGTGGGTCATCAGGACGTCTTTCCACAAGACTGCTCCTGCAGAGTGGTACCCACTTCTCATCTCAGCTACATGTGCCATGCTGGGGACCCCTATCTCCATCCAGTCTGGGAAAGCAGGAGACACGGGCTGTTGGGCTGGGGGTGGGGCAAGCATGTTTGTGGGCAAAGATGGGCACTGAGTGAAGAAAGACTAGCAGGTGATGAAGGTGGAGTATGAAGTAATGGAGAAGCCACCTAGCCACCAGCTAGATTTCTGTTCTTTTTCTTTCTTTTTACAAGAATGTATACAAAACTAGAATCTGTAGTCTGCAGAGTGCCTGTGCTGGAGGAGTCAGCTATTTCAACCAACTTAGGAAAGCAACATAGATGTTCTTGGCACAGGGAATGGATGCTTTGCCATACGAATCTTCCCTCTCCATCCCAAGAATCCCCAAAGTCTAAGACAATTTCTGCAAGTTCTCTTTCAGCAATAATGTGAACCGAAACCCTGACCCAGCTACCATGACAAAGACAATGCAGGACACCTCTGGGAGCATCCTGTGCAGGCTGGCTGCAGGAGGGGCAATCCTTGCTGGGTCGCTTCTACCCATCCCCCTAGGTGAGCATCGGTGCGCTGCCTTCTTCTTATAGTCTCTGAGGCTGAACTCCCATAAGGCCCTCCTTACCACCACATGGCTTTAAGGCCACTGCCTTACTGTGAGGACTTGTCCCCAGATGGCACAGGGTCTGACACAGGAACACCGTCAACCTGAAGAGCACTGTGTTCTTGGCAGTGGGTCCTAAGGCTGCCTTGCATTCCTGCCAAGCTTTACATAGCTAGTGCATCCGTTTGTGTGCAGCTCATTTGCTTGTAAATGGTTATTCAGCCTATTCGAGATAGCATTCTAATTTCAGAGAGGAGACAGACAAAAGATCTAAGTGGATTGTTTGCCCGCAGTTAGCCAGTAGCAGGTGGCAATGCTAGAATTTTCACTCCAGACAGCAGGCATTGCATTTTTTCATTGACAATTTGCTTATACATTCCCAAAGAAACATTGTCCTTTTCTATTATTATGATTTTGGACATAGCAACACCTACAGATAAAATAAATGTAACCATATAGGCATAACCAAAAGCCAGTCACAAGGAAAGGATGGTACCCAAGCAACCGGTTCTTTACTGATTAGCAAACATTATGCAGCCACTAGGACACATGAGGTCCCATTTCTGAACGTCTTTTGAAAGTGGTAGTTTTCTGTTCCAAAGAGGATTTTCAGCCAGCAGCCTTGTCTTCCCCAACTCTGAGCAGGGGTTGGGGCTCATCTGGTTTTTGTCACAGTGTCTGCTGGATAAACAAGAGAGTTCTGTGGGAGGAAAATTTATATCAAAATGCAGAGATGATGAGTGGCCCGGGGCCCTGAGCAGCCTCTGGGAACACGCTAGGAATGGCAGTGTTGCATTTTCCTTCCTCGTGGAGTGCGAGGCTGTGTATTTTTAGGTAAGAAGTCAGCGTGGGATGCCAACGGTTTTGCTGCCAGGAACTCTCATGATGGAAATTTCTCTGGCTAGGGAAGTAAAGAAGGTGAGATGCAGGCCTGTGGGAGGGGCATCTACTTGCCCGCTATGTGGAGATGATCTCTTCAGCTGCCTTTCCGACTCTTGAGCAGAAGTATCAGCCTCACACTCCCTGCTTCTGAAGAACGCTCTTTCCTGAGACAGTGGCCAAAAGCTCCCTGGAGTGGAGTGCAGTGAACTGGCTGTGTAGGTGATGAGAGAGATGGTTCAGACTTGGGGGACGGTGGGAAGAGAATGGGAAGGTGGCAGTGGAAAGCAGAAAGAGACTCAGAAGAAGAATAAAGATTGAACATGATCACTTCTGCCAGGTAAGCAGAGGGAAGAATGGCCAGGCAGTAAGTGGTGTCTTGATTATTCACAAAAAGAACATGTTGTAGCACTCACTCAATGCTGCTCTTCTTAACCATACTGAGATAGAAACTGAGACCCTCTGTGCTTCCTCCCCCATACTGCTTGGACCAGGAACTACCTCTTCTCTAGTAGGAGGCTGAACATTCCTTGTCCATTCCTGTGGCTGTCAGGCATGTCCAACAATGGTGACAATGGTGACAGCCAATAGGCTGTCTGGTACCATTTTTTTTTTCTGTGTTTGAAAGGCATAACTTAGGTGAATTCCAAATGGTTTATATGTAAAAGAAAGCAAGTTCTGCAGGATGCAGGCTCTCATGCGTGTGTTTTAAGGCTATATATCCCCCATTCCAGCCACCAGCAAAGAGGGCCGTCAGTAAATAAAGTTAACAAATGATATGCCTCATAATTTGGTTTATTCTGCAAGCCTATGAATAAAAAGTAGTTCATGTCTCACGTGGCTTTGATCTCTGGTCTGCTTGAATATGGATGTGTCCATTGGAGTCTCGGAGTCGAAGGGACACCCCCGAAGGGTAGCAGTATCTTCCTGGCTCACTCTACATTTAAGTGGGAGACAGGCACCACAGGGGAACATTCTTAAACTAAATATTTTTATTTCTGAATAATTTTTAAGCTTGCCCCCAAAGTCTCCAGAATCATATAGAGAGCTCCCAAACGCACCAGAGTTTCCTCTGGTATCAACATCAAACAATTCTGTGGCACATTTGTCAAAACTGAGAAATTAACACTGCTACACCAGTATTAATCGACTTGATTTGGCTTTCACCAGCTTTCCCACATATGCCCTAGTTTTCTGTCCCAGGAATAGTTCAGGATACCACATTGTATTTTTTCTTTCTTTTTTAAAAAAAGATTTATTTTTATTACAAAGTCAGATACACAGAGAGGAGGAGAGACAGAGAGGAAGATCTTCCATCCAATGATTCACTCCCCAAGTGAGTGCAATGGTTGGTGCTGTGCCGATCCGAAGCCAGGAGCCAGGAATCTCTTCCAGGTCTCCCACATGGGTGCAGGGTTCCAAGGCTTTGGGCCACCCTCGTCTGCTTTCCCATGCCACAAGCAGGGAGCTGGATGGGAAGTGGAGCTGCCGGAATTAGAACCAGCACCCATATGGGATCCTGGCATGTTCAAGGCGAGGACTTTAGCGCTAGGCCATGGCGCTGGACCCCACATTGTATTTTTTCATCACTGTTCCTGT